ACAATACTTAACAAAAGTCAAAAAAACCAAAACTACAACCAGCACACAAAATAATATACACTTATCTCTCAAAGGAACTGCCTTCAAGAAGTGCTTAGGTCATGGAGGGATAAGTGATTAAATGTAAGTAATTTTCATAGCTAAGACTTCCAAATCATAAACAAAGGATTTATTTAGATAAATGTAGGCAATAGAGTAGACAAAAAAAGTTAAATGTTTTAGGAGGGTCTTATTGTTTTCTTTTCGATTTGGGCAAATCCAGTGTTGCTTTTGTTGAGTTTGGAAATTTCATGGTGCTACTACTGCACATAGAAAGAATTTGTTTCACTTTTCATAATTATGTTGCCTAATACTATCTAAAAGCATCTAAAAATCCCAGCAGATTTAAGAAATACTTAAGTAATTGCTGAACTTCATTACACTCTTTTATACTTCACCGATTGCCAGTCTTTGCGTATTCCAAGAAACAATGGATTGGAATAGAGCAAGTACTACATTCACATTTCTGTACGCTCTGATTTTGGGGAAAAAATGTGGGAATATATTTGCACACTTTGAGATAGTATTTTAATTTAAACTTCATGTTTAAGATAAACATTAAAGTCCGAGAAATTTTATAACAGTGCACCAAATCTCTCATAAAACAGAAGCTTTCATCTTAAAACAATGTAACTCCATCTGCATTAAATGGTTTATGTCTTTAAAGATTAATATGACACTATTTAACCTTTTCTAAAATACCCAACGTTATTAAACAACTTCAAAAGACGGAATTCTAACATCAGTTAGCAAAGGATGACAACTCAAGGGATGAGAAAGCATTTAAACTATTTCTTATTCTCACAAAGCTGTTTCCTTTAGATTCTCAGTTTTGCTAACTAGTTATGCTTCCAGACTTTGAGAACAGATGAGCCAAATATGCACCTGACCAAATATTAACATCCTTTCAGGAGGCTTTGATGTGTCACAGCGTTGTGTCAACTAACTTCCTCCAAGTCTGTGACTCGGTCTTAAGAAACAAAAACAGAGGTACTCAGTAACGCAAAGCTTACAGCAGGGTAAGTCATGACGATCCCGACGGCGAGCATTTAACCCCCATTACGTTCCTGGGACCAGAGTGCTTCAGAAGGCACTTAGGCCCTCGCAGAATTTGACCCTACACGTTTAAAACATGGTATTAAAAGTAACAGTATGGTCTTTGACAGTCTGTCTGTAATCTTCCCAAAAGTGGTGTTATGCAACACAATAAAGACAAATCCAACTTAACTGAAAGGAAGTATATCTACTGTCATTTTATTGCTGTGAAGAATTACAAGCAAATATAGCTTTAACAATGTAGTAACATAACCAACGAACTGTTTATGGACCAGCCCATGCTTTAAGATACAGCGTCAAAACTGACACATGAGAACACGCTTGTTCTATACTATTGCTGTATTCATGGGAATACAGCATTCTAATACATTCTAATACTATTGCTATATTCATGGGAACACATGTGATATACCTGCAGATTTTCCTACTGTTATTTTTTGCATTTTGTCCATAAAAAAAAAATTTAGGTATTTTTGTTCACATTTTTCTATAACATGAGTGCTTTCTTTCTAAAAGAAACATCAGGAGTCTATAATTTCATCAGCATACAAATGCACAGAAGCTGTTAGGCTGGTAAAAGAGGTTGTCTTGTTCAAATAAACAAATGACCTTGTATTTTCATCTGCTTTCTACAAGCATTTTTCACTTCCTAAGTTTATGTTATCATAGAATATTCTACATTCCTATCAGCTTGTACAAACTGTTACCTACAATCTCACTGTAAAGAAACATTAACTACAATTGTGAAGAAGTTAAAAGTAGAATTGCAAATTATTTATTATAACTTGACTCCGTATTATTCTGTTTCATATATTGTCTTTGGAACAAAAATATAAACACTTCTTACCTTTTGAACGTCAGTATCATGCTTCTGCTGTAACTTAAGTTTTTCTTCATGAAATTTACCTTCTGCTATTTTCATTTTCATGTCCAGCTTTAAAAGCAAAACAGAACACATATATAACTTAATAATTAAAGAAGAAATTACTCTAATGACCTTTGCGTAACTTTTAAATTATTCATTTATGTCTTTGAGAACACAATGGGAAGTCACTAACAAATAATTTCTATTAAAAAAAAATCTATATACAGTTTCTCAGTATTTTCATATTTATTTGATAAATTGTTACAAAAGATCTCAACCTAAAATATTTATTTAGAAAATGAATTTGTAAGATGTTTTAGTTGGCAATGAAAACAACTGCTACTTCCCAGAAAAAGCTATCATCCTTTATTTAAATAAACACTTAAGAATGCAACTTTTAATATTTCTGTTAATATACCAACTATGGTAAACTTGCTTTTATTCTTTAGGCAGGTGTTACATTTATACAAAGAATGTCCTCTAGCCCAGATGCACGTTTATTTTTGTTTGTTTTCTATTATTCAGAGATTTCACATTATAAGCACATTTCCTTTTAAAGGTTACTTATAATGGGATTAAGGATATTGCTGCTGAATTTGATTGCTAAAATACATTTCCTGCTTCTGCTTGTGTTTGTTCAAAATAGTGTACTGGAACCCCTCCGACACAATAGCACGTTGCCACTTCTTACTTATAGTCTAACTTTTCATCTTGAAAGTATTTTTAAGTCTCCTGCGTATTTTCACTACGCCATTAAAGACTGTCTTCACGACTCTGCAAATATGACAGGTATTTTGTGTTCCTCAGAGTTTTTCTGAAAACAGAAGTGACACCTCGAGTTCAGACTCAGGTTATTCCACTCCTACATTTAATCATTTCCACTGTTCAGAGAGAAAAGCAGCCAGAAAAGCTTCCCCAGAGTGACAGATCCCCATGACCCCCCTCACTTTAGAGGGCAGACAAAAATCATTGGAGTGCGAGTACCAACATCCCACCAGAAGACATCTTCTGCTGCCAACAGAAAGATCTGTATTTGCCTTTGGGATGTTCTAAGAGCCAACGGTGCTGAGGTTTGCCCACCTTGGAGCTGGACACTGGGCTCCCATCACCATCCAGCCATTTTCAAATTTCTCAAATAGTATTTTGCTCAGCTACGAACCTGACTTCTAACTCTCTCAGCTGGCAAACTCTAAAAGGAACCAACAAGCATTATTCATTCTGCCTTTATTTTTATTCCTTTGACATATCAAAAGTAGTCATTCACGCATGAATCTTTATCTACTGTATACAAACAGGGCACACACTGCAAATTATTAATGTCTTTTATACGGTTATTTTGTGTTATATATTTCTGTTTAATGTGATTTGAAAATGTGAGCTACAAAAATCCAAGTCAACTTGAAAATGAAAAATGTCGTGCAGTAAATACCACAGACTCCTCAAGAACTGAAAACAGAAGAGCAGCAAATCCTTTCCATTTCCAGACACCACATCCGCTGACACACAGAGTATATGCCTGCTTATTACAGCACATATAAAGAGGTTAACTATCTCCTAAGACTAAATAGGAACATAGTCTTATGCAAATTACCGGGGGGGAAGTTAGATTGACAATTAATCCCAAGAAAATAGATAGTATTCTCAGCTGTCAGCCATCTCCTTTATCATCCAAAAATAAGCATCACAATAAAAATGCATGGTCTAGTCATGAAATATAAGCATATGTATATATGAAAAGAAATATATGCATATATCCCTCCAACAAAGTGACATTATAGAAGAAAATCTTAGTACCAGGTGATAAATAAGTGTTGATTTAAAAAAAAGCACAGTAATCCACTTCCAGATAGACAGTTTGTGAACATTCCATAAATAAATATGAAGGTCTTGTAAAAACACAAATACTAGAAACTAAACATGAAAGAGACTCCAATCTACTTGAATTACATTAAAAGCTTATGAATTACTGATGTATAGCTGTTGCACTCACATAGCTATTAAATCCACACAAACACGTTACATTTAGAACTCATTAATAAAGCAAGAATGTCTTGGTTGATGTAAATTAATCCTTGGTGGTTTGCATCAGCTGAGATCTGGTCTACATTTTAATATTCTGTAGGTTGAAAAAACATAAAAATAACTCATACTCTTAGATTTGTCTTGTATTAAAAACGGACATGTATCTTCAAGCAATGGTGATTGTTGTCAGCCCCATGGCTGTCTTCCCACAGGTTGACAGCAGAAATCCCTGTACTTGAAGCTGGCTCCCACTCCTTGTCATTAATCTTGCACTTAACACCATTCTTGCACTTGCACTAGCTCTCATCAATTGTAGTTCATTAATTCATTGCACTACTTCCAGTAGAACAGATAGGCCTTAATATTTCACAGATTTTGGGACTATTTTGCAAAAAGGACTGGCAGCTGCACCTCAGGAGAGCTAGTTGCAACCAAACAAATTTGAAAAATGTGTCTGTCCAAGATACAGAAGCCAGCTCTTAATGAAGGCAAGCACTGTAATAAGAAAATAAATTACTGCTTCTTTGAATACTAAAAAAAAAAAAAAAAAAAAAAAAAAAAAAACGCCTTTCC